GAACCGACAACCGCATGGGTAGGCTCAAAAACCGAAAAGCCCGACCCTTTTTTATTTTTTGTATTTTTATTCTGAATATTTTTATTTAATTTTTTAGTCTTTCACGTCTTGCTATGCAAAATTTCCGCCTACAACATTGACTTTTTAATTTCACACTTTAAATTTTGAATTCAGTCATTAATTGATTTGTCATCTTACTTTAATATATATATATATATTTTTTTATTATTATCGATTTTTGCTCCGTTTTCCTTCCACCGATGGTATTGCAATCACTTTCTCCAGTTCTCCTTCTCCTTGTACTTCACTTAAACCCATTTTCTCTAACTCTCCTTCCTCTCCTTAACAGAGAAAATCTATTCTACTTCTCTAATAGTTCATTCCTATTAGTTTCTTCTCCTAATCTCATTCTTTTTTTCCAAATCTAGAAACAAAGAATCACTTAGTGATTTTTTCCTCCCTCTTCTCCATCGTTGTAGTTGAAGTCTACTCCTTCGATCGACTTTCTCGTACCATATTCTCTCATCATTCTTCCTTCATCTGTGATATCTGCTTGCCTTTCCGCCATTAAAAAGCCATTGTGAAATGACGGTTGCAACTCGAACCGAAACTAAAACAACCGACACCGAAACAATCGAAACCACAAATTATAACATTCAGGTGCGGCTTTCGGTTTCTAAAATTAAGAAACCGATATCTCAATTAACCAATATCTCGGTTTCAGTTACAACCGAAACCGCCCAATGCTTACCCCTATGTTGTTTGGTTTTTAAGAAAATTGGAGGTGAAAAGAAAATTGAAGGTGAAAAGAAAATTTCCTTAGTAAAATATGTTTAGTTCTTAAAAAAATCTAGAATGACAAGAGAAATTTTTATTATTGTTAAAAAATTTATATAAACTGAAGAAGGAAATAAACTGGAGAAGAAGATGAACATGGAAGAAGATAAATATGGAAGAAGATAAACCGGAGAAAAAGATCTACATGGAAAAAAAATGGCACAAATTTTCACATTTTTTATGGCTTAGTTAATAATTGTTTTTTAGCATTTCACTTACCCTTGTCAGTTCCAGTTCATGTCTTAAATTCAATGGTGATGTCATAAAATAGATGGGCGAGTGGTAACAAGCAAGTGTTGAAGCGAGTGCTCTTAGCACTGCTTTTATGTTTAATAACCACCGTAATCAATATGTTTGAAAATAGAAAGAAAAGAGTGTTTTATGTTTGGTAATTAATTTAAGTTGTTTGAGAATAATTTAAAATTATAAAATATTAATTTTATAAGAGGTGTGTAATAGAATGTGTCAATCTACGAAATACACTTATCTAATGTTTAATAAAATATTAAATTTAATGATTAATTTTTTAAAATACTTATTAGAGATAGCATTTTAAAAATTGAAATTTTTATTTTTTTTATAGTAGTT